GGGATGGCCCCCGGCGCCATGAGGGGCTCTGCCGGGGCCGGGCATCCGCCGTCCGTGTTCCACACACCCGCTCCCGCCCCGGAGCCGGGGCTGACCCGGTGGGTCTCTGTGCCCCTCCCCGGGGCTGCTGTTCACCGGCTGTAACCCGTTACCGGTGGCGTGTGTCTCCCCGGTGCTGCCCCTCACCCACTCAGGGCCCTTTTCTCTAACGTGGGGGGCTGTGAGGAGAGGGTCTCTGTCCAGAGAGGAGGGCGGGAAGAGGTACGCTAGGAGCAGAGCACGGTGGTTCTAGTAGCTCCCTAAATTCTTGCTGGTTTTTTGGGCCTGCGGTCACGGCTGCTCGCAGGAGCATCGCTGGCTGCGGGGAGAGAAGGGGCTTGGCAAGGCCGAGAAGTTCTCGGTGGGGCTGGCCAAAGCCTCCTTTCTTTTCTCTCCTGGCATTTGGGCTGTCCTGGAGCTCCAGTCCTTCCCGCAGAGTTGCGACGGTGCTGGGCCTGGGCGCAGCTGCAGAATCCCCTCCTTGAGCAGCTTTCAACATAGTTTGCCAGTAGGCAGAGACACTTTGTTTGAGCTTACGTGGTGGAGCGGGCTTGTTTTCCCTGGCTGTTCCGCTCGGCGAGTGTTGCTTCTCGTTTCGTACGCCCCCATCAATTGCCACGGCACAGCTACTGTGTTCATTTCAGCACGCGTAGAAAATAAGTTGCTTTCTTTGAAAACCTGCCAGTTTTATGAGTTCTGAGGAACGATCTCGTTTCCTGGAAGCCTTATGGTATCCATAATTGACGTGTCACAAAAGCCACTGGGAAGTGGTTTGTAGAAGCAGCCAAACACAATTCTTTCTCTACGTGTTCTTAAGTTGCAGAAATTTATGCAAAGGTCTGTAGGGGTTTGGGGGGTTTTTTACTTTTTTACTTTGACAGACCTTATCCAAGTTTTGATTCTTCAGCTGCGTTTTGCAGCTTGTCTGTCCCATGGAGAGCCCAAGGCGTCCTGTAATCCTCTTTTTGGTTGCACGAGGCCTCCTCCCGTTCCCTCAAACACAGTGTATCAGCCTGTTGTACACGTGGTGTGATTTTCCTTCCCATTCAGAGTTTACACTTTTGCAAAATTACTGGGCAAGAAAAGTGACTTTTAGGGGAAAAAGCGTGGCATAGCACACAGAAAGGCCCACTCTGACAAGGATTGCTCTTCGTGTGGAGCTCTGCTAGGGCATGCGCCAGAAAAGTAGATCTGGGTGACAGCAAGCACCAGCTCGCAATGTGAAGCAGTCATGTTTTGCCTTAATCCTGTGGCCTGGGACAGGCAGAGTAAAAGGTGGGTTATGTACTGTTAGAGAACTGGAGCATAGGGGAGGAAAGCAGAGGAAAGGGGGGCAGCAAGGCAGGTTAATGTTAAAATACAGTGTGCTAATTTGTGGCCAGACCCCAACCAAGCTGCTGGTACAAGTTTCACGTCTGAGGTGCTGTCCAAGGACCCTTTGCTTGGTGTCCTGCTGGTTGCTTGCCTGTGCGCTTTGGGTCTATAGTTAGGAAATGTTACTAAAGATCCTGCAGTTACATGGTGGTCATTGAGTCTTTACGTAGTTCATGTGCCCCTGGGAAATCTCTTTCTCATGAGTTACATTGGGTTTGGCAACAATCAGCGACATGGATCTTGCACAGTATGGCTTTGGGATGCAGAAGCAATACGACTGGAGCTGTGGAGTGAAATAGAACTGAGCTGTGGCTGTACGTGGACTTCTGTGGTTGGTTTGGGGAACCACACTACCAAAAATCTCTTGGCAAGCTGTAGGGAACTGAGCCCTAAACAGGAAGAGTGGGGTGGGAGGGACTGCCTCGTGAGATGAGGTTTAAAAGTGACTGGCAGTTTGCTTCAGGTTTGGAAGGATCAAAAGCAAAGACTGTAATTTTGTGAACACTCTAGTGGTGTAAATATGAGCAAAGGAAGGATTTATTTTTCCAAAAGCTGAAATCTGTGAAGCCCCCAAGCTCAGAAGCTCATCCAGTGAGTTGCTACTCCTTAGCCTGCTGTCATTTTTATCCTTCGTCCTGTAACAATTGCTTGTATTGGCTGTTGGATTACCGAGCGGTTTTTTCTTGCCCCTACAAGCTGTGCGGGTCAGATAGGATATCTTGGCTCATCTCTTGGCCTGCAAGCGTTGTTTGCACTTGCATAAAGAACGTGATACCCCCATAGTGCAAGGTCTGTAATGTGCAATCTGCAGGAGGAGACGAAACGTCCTTCTCAGTTCTAGGCTATGGATAAAGGACTGCAAGCTCGTCAAGTTACTGATGCCTTTGTAAATAACATCGTCTGGTTTTAATCGTATTACGTGTGCCTATTCTTTTTAATGGGGATGCAATATATAAACTTCAGAAGCTGCAGGCATGAAGAGATCAGTCTGATACTTGGTTTAAAAAAGATAAAAGTAGTTTAAAAAGATGGTGCTATCCAGCTGCCAGGGAAACGCATGATGGAAAGATACTTCTGCACTTGGAGGAATCTCACTTGGTTTCACAGTATTGTCACCTGTGCAGTTAGGCCAGGCCTGAATGTTTGTCCCCTCTTGGCTGAAAAGGATGGAGGTTGGTGTCTGAGCCTTGCAAGGAGGAGACAATAGTCTGCAGCACTTTACCCAATACACATGCGCACCCCACCTAAGAAAAGGAAAATTAAATTTATGCAATTCATATTTGGTAATTGAGGGAGAAGGTGGTTTTCACAGCTGCTTCTACCTGCATCAAATATGTAGGTATGACAGCACAAGAGAACAAAGCACCCTTCTGACTCATGTGTTATGGGTCCTATCGTGCTGCCAGCAATCAGTGCTGCAGTTCTCTGTCCCCGAAAGGGGAGTATCCGTGTGTGACTGGCGTCCCACAGTATTATTTTCTAAGCTTTCTAAAGATGTGGCATTGTCACATAATTTACCTAGCACAGTAGACTTGCAAAGGCAGGAGATAAAGAAGAATAATATGCTTTATAATATGCTAGAGAACAAATGTGGAAATGCTTTGCTGTTAAGGAGAGAAGTGGGAAAAAAAAAAAAAGGAGAGGACAAGGATGTGCTGCTTTGGTGATCCACTGTGGCTCCCAGACTGTCCAGCTGGGTAGGCCTGGGGTTTTGATGGAGGTTGCGTGCATTGGGAGAAGCAGGCAATGTGTTTAGCAGTAGCCCTCACATCTGGGCAAGAAGCAGCAGGAGCTCAAGGGTTCCTTGGATGAAAAGGTGAATGTCTTTCTGATGAAGGGTGGGGGGTCTTAGGGCGGTGGCAAGATGAAGAGGGGTCTCTTTATGGGAGAGTTGGAAGGGCAGATTGAGCTTGGCGGTCTCTTAACTTCTTTTTTTTCTTTTCATCTTTTTCTTATTTCAGTTCTGCTTGAATCACTCAACAAGAACGAGCAATCAGCCAATGGCCAGTCCCAATCCAGGGAGTCCACAAACTCTCAGTTCAAGAAAATGAGCAGAGACTTCCCATCGGCCAATGGAGAGGCTGGTGGGGAGGCCCCCAAGGGCTACACTCAGGACCAGGTGGATGCAGTGAAGAGGTGTGTGCACAGCTCTCCGTGGCTTCAACCCGCAGCTTGTTTGAGTTTATCATGTGATACCGGTCTGTTTTTCACAGTGTTTTAAAGATTCCGGCTTTGAACCCCATTAAGTGTTTTTTAACTGGCTGGCTGCTAAAAGCATACCTAGGAGGATTTGTAGCTACGGCAGCCCTGGGAGGCAGCTGGGTTGGGAAAACGAGGGATGAGATTTTCCCCCAAAGGCATGCACAAGGGCTAGAACTGTAGGCACGCAGGCCTTTTCCTGGCTGAGGTCCAAAGAGACATTTTGGATGCATTCATCTCATGGACTTCACATGTCACAGTCAGTAATGCTGTGAAAAATCCCATGTGCTCCTGAGATCCTGTAGGTGGAAGTCATGGCTCCTAGCTTGCAGTAGGCAGCCCTCCTGCTCTTAAGCTTTGGTCTAGTAGCAAGTGACAGGGCATATCCTTCTTCCTCTCTCCTGATGATATTCTGCTCATGGTCTCTCTTAGAGCCCGATAAAGTAGAAATCCATTGCAGGACACTTGACTCTGTGAGCACGATGCACTTCTAAAGCTCCTGCTGGAAAGTTCCAGGACATGTTTATGCAGTCACCTGTTTCCCAAACCCTGTTTCAAGCTGTTCTTTGTTCCTTTCTACCATTTGCAAATACTGGAAGTTGAAGGACTGAACTGCAGGCACAGTCACTTGGTAAACTTTGTTTAAGGTTATGGGCATGGTCTGAATTGCACAAGAACTGCTCTGGCTAATGGACTTACAGGGATGCTTGTTACGTCATCCATTTCTCCAAAAACCCAGCCTGCCATAGTCTGTCTCATCAAAGTCATGTGAGAAGGCGAAACCATCGCTGGGCTGTGAGTGTACCCAGAATGAACTGGGCTGCACATACAGGCCTGGGCAGCTCCCTCTTTCTTCCTCTAGAATTCAGCTGATGTTATTTTTAGGTCTGTGAATTAACTGAGTCTGAGGAGAGGGGGGAGAAAAAAGCCAATAGCCCCATCTATCCTTCAGATAGATGCCTGCCATTTGTAGTGCCTCCCAAATAGCCTCCAAAACGTGAGCATGACGAATCTGAAACTTATTTGTCAATCACATTCCTTTGCGGGTGATATCCTTGCCTGAGGAGAGGCCCTTCTACCACTACTGGCTTGACTTGTTCTGTGAGACTGTTTGTGTGCTAGTAATGCAGGCACAGCAGGAATGAGTCTGTGACAAAAATTGGGTCACCCTCTGAGGAATTAGTGCTGAGTAAACCAGAGTTCACTGAACAACATCGATCGAAACTGTGATGTGTGAGATGTTGCAGAGTTGGCCTATTCATTGCAAAGTGATTTTCACAGCTGAAACTACCTGTCTGTGTTTTCTCCTCTCTCTACTGGCAGGGTAAAGCAGTGCAAAGATTACTATGAAATTCTGGGAGTAAACAGAGAAGCTTCTGATGAGGACCTGAAAAAGGCCTACCGGAAACTTGCACTGAAGTTTCACCCAGATAAGAACCACGCACCAGGGGCTACAGAGGCATTTAAAGGTAAAGAATATTTCCAACTTTGTGATTTGCCCGCAATTATCAGGCAGTGGTGCTGAGTTGGGCTAGCAAGGACCCTTAAAAACAACCTTATGAGTCAGGTAGAGTGAAATAAAGCTTTTCCTTGTAAAGTTGTCTCTCTTCTGAGCTGGTTGTGTTATGAACAAAGCATAAACTTAAAATAACAAACACAGGTTGGCACAGGTAGGATTCACCTCTGCTAGTTGGACAAGGAGAAGCCTTCCTTCCCTTTATCCTAGCAGCCCTACCTGTGGGTTGCTCCAGCTTCCTGCCACACTGCTCAGGAGGTAATTCCCTCAGGATGTTAAACAACCCCTTTTTTTGGAGAGGTACAGGAGCATTCACCTAGCAGGGAGAAGCTCCAACTCCTGCAGTCATCCAGCATGGGGCAGGTGCTGTGGTGCACCCCTCTCTACTGACAAATCCAGTAGAGACCTAGTAAGTTGTGCAGCACCAGAGGCAGCCGTTGGGTTCACGAATCCCTCGAGAGAAACATTACTGGGCAGGCGGGAAACTCATCTTCTTCAGAACTGGTATTTAGACTCTTCCACTCATTGAACATTTCAGGCAGCCAGTAGGCCTTCAGGTTTCTAAGCAAGCACTCAGCACCTGACCTTTGCAAAGGGCTGCGGGTGGAATTGGTGGATAGAAACCTCAGGTGAAAATTTCTAGGGTGAAACTGCACCAGCCATACAACTGAGGCTATCCAGGGCTCAAATAGGTCACCAGGAGCTTCAGTTCTGCTGCAAAGAGCCCAATTCTTAGGGCATCTCTACAAATGCAGCAGGGATGTTTCCTGGGTAATAAGATACCTTAAAACCGGAGTAATTTTCCAAGAGAAATGCTATTGCTTGGAACATATAACCCCATTTTCCCTTGCAAGCTGCGGAAGTTTGATTATTATTGTTGAGCTAAACGCAGAACTTCTTGATGCCGGTTGTACAGTGCTGGTTTTGCAGTGTTAAGCCATTTAAATGGTGTGGTTTGATTCTGGCCATCTTGGGAATGAAATGCATGAGACTTCTGCTGGAGCAGGGAGCAAGGCTAGCCTGGTGTGAGTGTATTGATATAGTATTCGGGTAAGCTTCTAGTAGACATGAATTTAGCAGTAAAAGTCTTATGTAAGGTTTGTTCAGGCCTTTTAAGACTTAAATCCATAACTGATAAGTGTGTTGCTGTTAGCAAATAATGAGCTGACCCCCAGCTACTTGGGAGAGCCTGTTTTGGTATGGGGACCAGATTAAAGAGTGAGCCTCTGCAGACATCTATCTACACCGCATGTGCAGTAAGCCACAGTTTGATAGTTTATCCTTCAATCCTTGCTAAGTGGCGAAAGGCAGGTTTCTTCACTTGTAATCTTAAATAATGATGTTTGCCAAAGGCTTTGACAAGAGTTACGTGCCAGAAGTCATGCGTTAAGCAAGGTGCCCTTTATCCTCCACTGCAGAGCTATCTGCTCTCAGGTTATCTCTCCTCCAAGGCTTGCCTCATTGGCTCTCCTCTCCTTCAGTCTGAGCTGAGCTCCTAGTTTGCAGGGCTCGCTGAAGTCCAGCTGTTTGGTTCCAGAAGGTGAAGGGGGAAATATGCACTGCTATGAGGATTTTAGTTAATTTTTTCTTATGTTGATGTATTAGCTGAAGTTTTGGCATTCATCTTCCCAGTGACAGCTGATAAAGCATTAGGTCTTGTCCTGAGACCTTGTCTCAGTCCATAGTTGCAGTTGGCTGCAGTCTGTCTTGTGGCAGATTTGCATCACTGCCTTTGGCTGACGTTGGAAAAAGAGTTGAACCTGGCTAGTTTGAGCTAAAATCGTGATTTAGAATGAGGTGTTTCTTGGGCTTTGTCAGCAGAAGAACAGCGAATAAAACCCTGAACCGCTCCATTTTTGTTGCTTAACTGCACAATTTGAAAGAACAAGCTAATATGCTAAGAGTCGGTCCTTGTCATCCAGCTTCCTTGCCTGGTTGTAGAAATGTTTGCTCTGTGTGCACTAATTATAACCAAGGAGGAAAACAAGAGTATTGACATTACATCCTCCACACTCCAAATCTCTAGTCCAAGCAGAAACCGTACACCTCGATCTAACTACTGGGAAAATGTTGAATCTTGGAGTTAATGTCCTCCAAAGGGCAGGTATCTCCCTTTTCTATCACTTCTGCCCCTGCCTTTTATACACCAGTCAACTACTGCCATGAACGTTTTTCCTTCCTTGTGACACAGGGAGGAGAGAGGATAGGCTCTGCAGTCATGTGGGGAGGCTCTTGGGTCAGTTGGTAGAGAGGGGAAGCGATAAGTTGGAACGTGCAGAGAGACAAGTACAGAAATAGGAGGGTGGCAGGCAGACATTGTGGTAGAAAGCCTCAAACATGCTGAGGTTGGAAGGAGAGTGACCTGGGAAACTGGCAGGGGTTTAGTTCCAGTACATTTCCACCATCACAGGCACTGGTTAATAGTCCTTGTAATTACATGCCTTACTTCTGGCATCTGGGAATTTTGAAATTCATAGCTGACAGACACAACTTCTAGCCAAGTTTCTTGTTCTTGTTGTAAGGAAATTTCTAGTTCCTTACTAGCTGTGATGGGAGGTTTTAAAGTCTCTTCTAGAGATCTAGCCTGTATTTAAGTTCTTTGCAGTTCTGGTTTTAGGCTATGATATTGAATTCCCTCAATGCCACTTTTGAATAAAATTTGTCAGCTAAAATCGTATTTTCCTATACAGTTGTTTACAGCTGAAGGATTTGAGCATTAGTTGTTCAAAAGGAATAACAAGTTTAATTAAGTGAAACGGGTAGCTGCTCTACTACCAATATTTCCTTCTCAATTCATAATTTCATTCATCTGAGAGAGTTTCTCTAGGGACATACACCAAATCCATACCAGTCGTATCATTGAATTAATTAAGGCCTTTTTCATTGAATCTCTTGGTGTGTTTTCCTTCTGTCTGCGTTTGCCAGAGAAGTGTGCCAGGTACTAGTGCTGCACTGCTGAAGTAGCCAAGTTGACAAGACGTGGGTAGTTGAGAACCTCATTTGAGTAATGAGAGAGGCAAGTCCTGGCAATTTGCAGGGCGAAATGTATTATCTGTAGAAGAAAGAAGCTAATTGCTTCCTTATTGTCAATATTTCAGCCATTGGTAATGCATACGCAGTATTGAGCAACCCAGAGAAGAGGAAGCAATATGACCAGTTTGGAGATGAGAAACTCAACCCTGCTCGGCACGGACACAGTCACTCGGACTTCCACCGTGGGTTTGAGGCCGACATCTCACCCGAGGACCTCTTCAACATGTTTTTTGGTGGTGGTTTTCCTTCTAGTAAGCACGTTAAACCTTAATCTCTTGAATGGGACCCGATCCTTTTGACAGAGCAACAGTGCAGTAGTGATTTCTTTGGCCGTGCAAGGATTGCTGAGTTTGATGAGAGAGTGTTCTCCTTCACACATGACCTAAACACCTAGAGTTTTCTAAATTGTTCAGACGGGTACTTGGAGAACTCAGCATCCAGCAGGTAATACCATCAGAGCTGGACTTCTTCCCAACTTCAGGTATTTGTTTGCATGCTGGCAACATTAGCTGTTATTAGGTTGGGTTGAATGTTAGAACAAAAACCGACTTGTTTTAAGGCTAGTTGTAAAAACAATCCTATTTTGAAGAGGCTTTTCTGCCTGGTGTTTTTAGAAGTTAAATCTTCTCATCAGAACAAACTTTGGTAACACCTGAGCCTTGTTCTTGATCTGTATCTGCTCTGCCACGCAGCTGAAGCAGTTTCTTTGAGATCAGTGTCCACTTCCTTCTTTCTACTGTGTCCCATAAAAAAGAGGAAAGTGTTATTTCTAGAGCATAATTTAAACCTCTTGAATTGAAAATTAAATCTGTATCCTGTCTATCCACAGTGCTGGTCATGGTTTGGGTAGCAGGAAAGAACTGAGTGACTGTTCCTTCACTTGGTCAGTTCCGATCAAAAAGACACAGATTTAATATAAGGATAAGGGTATTTTAGAAGACTCCCTTGTATTTACTCTAGTCATATTTGACTGGCAGAGAAGGCAGTGGTTATTTGACCTCTGTGGACCAACTTGGAAAAAACAAATATTTTTGTTTCAATTGAGAAGATTTACTCTGGTAGCTCTTTCCTATCTGGTATGTAAGAATTAACACACTAATGTCAAGTACTTGTGAAGGCATCTTGAAGCCTTTTGCAGCATTCATGTTCTGCCTGTCAGAGAGGTAAAGCTATGCCAGTAAAAACAGCAGATTGCTGTTTTAGCTCAGTCTTTTTTTCCTTTCCTCACTGTCCCAAGAGAATTCAGGACCGCTTTCTCAGCCAGTCTCCTTTTTCAGCTGTAGCTTTGACATTTAAAACAAGACATGGAAGAGCTCTGTTTTTAGGGTGAAAAAAATGCCAAAATTATTTCTTTTTGTAATTGGTTTTAACCTAAAGTAAATTCAATTAGAAGCAAGGAGGCCTGTACAAGATATTCTCTCTACATAGCTGACCCTGCTTTGAGCGAGAGGTTGGACCTCCTGAGATCACTCCAACCTGAATCTTCATGTGATCCTACAAAATCCTATAGATGGATCTCTGTGCCCACCACCAGTTCACCTTCAGACATTATGCACTCAGTACAGCTTAGGAATATTTCTTTTTCAGCTGTGGCTTATATAACTCATTTTGTAAATGTTGGCTTCAGGTGATGACTAGAATTTTTTTAATGAATTCTTCTATCCATCTCCTGTGGAGTCCCATATCTGCTTTGCTCTAAAGCTACCGCCATATCTGTCAAGGCAGCATGATGGAGTGGCTTGAGTCAGGGGCTTCTGCCATGTGGCCTGCTGACCAAAACCATGGACATGCACCTTGAGCACTGGGACATATGCAGACATCTCAGGCACAGCCCAACTCTCTCAAATTACCATTTCACTGGGACATCCCAGCTCCAGCCTGGAAGCAGCCCAGCCGGGCAGATGTGCTGTCCTTCTTCCAGCTCTGAACTGGCTGGCATGCTGCCGGCTATGTGAAGTAGACTGAACTGAGAGCAGTGGTAACGGCAGACCAGATCTAGGTGGGAGCGCAGCGTGGATTCCTTTACAATTCTATGTCCTTACATCTTTGCTGAGTATGGCCCGAACCAAAGAAACAGATCAAGCCCATTCTGACAATGTTCAAGGTTAAAATTCCTGAATTTGCTGTTGTCAGCACCCAGTCTACTTTTTCCTACTGTGTTTTTATTGGTGAGGCTGACATGGAACTTGTCCACCTTTTATGGTTCCTTACTGGCCAGCCAGCACCATCTTACACCATCTTACTGTGACTTTTGTGTAACACTTTTCTTTTGCCTATAGGTAACGTTCACGTATACAGCAATGGCAGGATGCGATATACCTACCATCAGAGGCAGGACAGACGAGAACATCAGGGTGACGTAAGTGGAGAACAGGCGGGGGGAGCTGAGGGTCTAAAGGTTTTTCCAATACGTGAATTGCAAGCTAGTTGGTGTGGCCTTCTTGTGAAACGGGCCTGCTTGTTTCCACCACCCTGAACAGAAAGCTGGAGTCGTGGGAAGTGAGCTGCCTTTGGAATTTACACCAGGTTGGGGTTTAATTTACTGGTGGTTGTTCCAGGGACTCTCATAGCTGTCATCCAGTGGGAAAAACACTGGTGTGTCTTGAAGCAGTGCGGCTTTGAAATAAGATTGCACCAGTAAAATGTCCCTGTCTTTATTACAGAATAAGCATTTCCTTTCTGATTTAATTCTGTAATTTCTAAAGGTAAATCCACTTTTCAGATAATGTGAATATTCACGGCTCCTCCCAACATGAACTCATTCTCCCTTTTATTCCAGTATTGAAGATGGGGTGTTTCTAATCTGTGATGCTTAAAGGAAGACACTTTATGGCACAAGCTATTTTTATGTTTTCCCATCACAGAAAATCTAAGTATATCTCCAGCGCTCCAAGTCCTCTGATCTAGAGAAGTGAGAATGAGGGACTTACTATTTAAGAGACCAGGGTTATGTACTGAAGATTACTATTTTCTGGAGATAGCCATTTATTTTTTTTTAAACCCAAACAAACAAACAAGAACTTCCTGAATATTTTTTCTCAAGCTTAAAGGGGAAAGTGTACTCTGCTGGAACTGGAGAGAGCTCAAGACGTGGGGGTGTTGGGGGGTGGAATTACTTTAATCTGACACTGAAGAAAGGAGAAGACTTTCCATAAAACCAGTTCTGCTCACTAGCACAAGCAGGACAGAAACCACATATGCTCTGGAAAAACAAAATATGAGCATTAGGCTTTTGAAATTCACTTACAAGGTTCCCCCTGCCAGTCCCCTCTGCCCTTTGTCACGTCTGGAGAAGGGGCAGTGGGTTTGGACCTTCGGAGTCATGCTGCCCTTTCTGGAGGGGAACTGTGCGCTGCTGGGTTCCCCCCAGTTATTTTGGGGTGCTTCCTAAGCCAAATGTCTGCAAAAAGCAGGAGAATCAAGGTTGGGCTAGGGCTGGGAGGGAGGGAGAGCAATGCTATGGGATCCTTGCAAACAAGTGTATGGGTGGCACTCCACTGTGTGTTTCTGATCCTTCAGGGTGGCCTTGGGTTGTTTGTCCAGCTGATGCCTATCCTCATCCTGATCATTGTGTCTGCTCTCAGCCAGATGATGGTCTCCAGCCCACCCTACAGTTTGAGCCAGAGGCCGTTAGTACCTATTACTCTAAAACTTATTCAGCTGGGGAGGGGGGTGGGTTCTGGAGGGCATGGTGGTGTGAGGGGGCAGGGATCTAGGCTCTCTATTTTTCCTCTCTGTTTTTTTGTTTGTTGGTGGTTTTTTTTTTTGCTTTATCTCATCACACCATTGCTCTTGCTGCCAGATGTCTCGCACATCATTGAAGGCCTCCTGGTTCTCAAATAGGTCTTGAGATGGAAGGTGTGGGGAAGGTTGGAGGGTGCTCACTTGCCCAAGGGAGGGTGTTCTTTGACAGGGACCTTCTGCAGCCCGTACCCACAGCTGGGTGTGTCTGTCCTAGAAAGGGACAGGCGAAATTACTCTGAGAGACTGCAGCCCAGCACTGTGATCCCATATTCAGAATTAATTGAGATGTAGAGTTAAACTGGGGTGTGAAAAACAAAGAAGGGCTCAGTTTATGCCTAGTACAAAGCAGTAGAGGAAGAAAAGAAGGAGTAAAAGACACTCCCAGAGAAGTCCCCTATTTTTGAACTCTAATCTTGCCATGAAACAGCTATGGCCAGACATTTACTGTGAGAAAGTGAAGCTGTTTCATTCTAGATCCTGTGGAAATGCCCCGATCTGCTCACTTGGCTGACAAATGAAATGAGTCTTCATTCTTACTCACTTTGCAGTGCCAACAAAGAATGGGAAAACAGGCTTGATTTCTGGCTGCTTGCATCATTCTTGACAAAAGCTTAATGTATTTTCAGTGGAAGTTCCTTGTGTGTATTTCAAGAGGGTAGGTGGACTTGGTTACAGCCAGTGGGCCCTGTTTAGTTTCACAGGTGACAATGTTTGCCACTGATGATGTTAAATACTATAAAACCCAGCTTAGCTTTTGGGTCCAAGGTAAAGACTGTGACATTAGTGCTTGGAGCTGAAAGATGGAGCGGTTTTGAAGAGGGCACAGTTAAAGGTTATTCTGAGAGGCTAAAGAGTATTGAGGTGTGATTTCTGCAGTTGATATTAGGACTATAAAATTAAGCATTATACATGTATACCAGTTTGTTTTATACTGGTGAAGAGGCAGTTTATGGGGTGAGAAGACGTTCAGTGGAGGGCAGCTTTTAAGTGGGCAGAGATTTGCTTCCAGCCTTGTGAGCTGTCAGAGGAAAGCCATCCCTGAGCCCCAGGTGTTTCTCTGCTGCTCAGTTCCCTGTTCCCTGTACTGTCCCTGTCTCTGCGTGCTTGGGTAGCGGCAAGCAAACCGATTTCCAAGTTTGGATTTGGACAAGAGCAGCAAATGAGCTGATCCCCGTCCTCCGTTATCCTTTCTGAGTGACCAAGGCACTTCAAATGAAGCTAGCTCGGGAGCAAAAGGCATGCTGTGCCGGCAGGCGGTGCTGCTCACTCGCTTGCTCGCACAGGCAGCCAGGCCCCTTCTGCTGCCCGATGTAAAGGGAAATGCCGTGCTTGGCTGTCATTTGGCAGAAAGCTGGAGCTTGCTGCACTGAACTCAGTGAGCAGGAGGCGAGAAGCTTTTGAACCTGGTGAGGTTTCAGTGGCACATGGAGATTTTAATGCCACTTCTTGGTAGTGAAGCTGTCTCTGAGAAAGGTAGAGTCCTAAAGAGCCATTTGTCACTCCATTACCTTTGTAAATCTCTTCCAAATACTAGCTTTCTGCTGAAAGTCCTGTCTGGCTGTGGGCCTGACTCTGCCACCCTGCTCTTCAATAACACCTCATCAAATTTGCCTGACTTAATTGCGTGTCTGACTTAGGCGGCAGGTTTCTTGCACCAGGTCCTGCCCTTATTTTCATGCTTTACACTCAGGCACGCTGCTGGAGCTCTGCAAACTCAAATACTCCTCCTTTGAGGGCACGCTTTGTAGCCTCCCTAGTTGATCTTTATACAGAAGAGGAGTATGGACTATGGGAGAGCTTAAGGCTCTGTCTTGACAGGTAAAATAGTGAGCTGAGCTTCTTCCAGACTGCATCTCTGCCAGCAGGCACTGCAGGAGATGCGTTGGCCTTTCTCTCGAAAAATGCCAAGAGAGGTTTTTGGTCATGTTCAGTCTATCCGGTTATCCACCACTCTTCCCTGAGTGCTGGACCTTGATGAAACGTGCAGGAGTCTTTGAATCACTCCTGTAAACTCTGATAACAGACTGAAGGGTGAGCCGGATGAGTTAATGTTTATACCTGGCTTAAGAATCAGGCTTGCTTTTAATGCAGCAGCCAGCTGGTATTTATTATGGGAAACTTTGGGCATGTCTCCAGATGGAGCTGTTCCTGATGAATCCAGCATTTGGGCACAGGTCCTGTGTTACAGCTTGCAAACACGCCCTAGTGAGTATCTCTAGGTTTGCTGGAGTGTTGGGGAAAATAAGTACAGGGCTCCGTCTGAAATGCAAATCCATGGGGGTAGGGTAAGAAGAGATTTTCTTCTAGAAAGTGCTCTCCGTGCTAGTTGGTGCAGGCTCGAGTGCAGAGCGGGTCTAATTTTGTTCTTGCAGCAACAGTGTTCGTTGCAGCATGTGATGTGGTAGAGGAAGCTGACGCTCTTGGGGTTAGCAGATATCTTAGCAGAGGGTACTGGGTTTGACTGACGGGTAGCCTTGCTGAGCGAGGGGGGGTTGCTGGGGAGCTGTGACAGCTGTTCTGCCTCGCTGGCTGCTCTTACCCTGCACTGCACAAACATCGGCCTCTGAGCTTTGTAACCATCCTTGGGGCTCACCGCCAAAAACAGATGATGGTGTCGTCAGCAAGGAAATTGCAGAGAGATTTAATTAGTGCTGAAAATGCTAATGAACACTTTATTTTAAGTGGGTTTAGGCCTTGGGCAATGTGCCTCAAAGTTACGTCTGTATTCAGAGCTCTGCCCACCTAGCTAGAGGCCTGGCAGGTTTTCTCTCCCTGTGTTGGCGTTTCATTTCCACTAGAAATGCTTCTCCTTTCCAAACCTTCAAGTCTGTGGATGCATAGGAGTGATGTATGTTTTCAGCGGTTTGGTATCATGGCATGTTGTGCTTTATAAAGAGCTGGGAGCTTTTTGCTCTGCCCTTCAAGTGTGTCCTACACTGTTCTGCCTTTTCTCCTTGAACTAGGTCTGTGGGTCACATACACAGGAGAGTGACAGAGCACTTGAAAGTCAGCTACTACGTATCTGAGAACTTTGCAGACGAATACACAGGCACAAACCTGAAAAACGTTGAAAGGAGCGTGGAGGACGACTATATTGCAAACCTTCGAAATAACTGCTGGAAAGAGAAGCAGCAGAGTGAGTAGTGTGGGGTCAGGAGTGGAGGGTCTTGGCTGTTGCATGAGGTCAGCTTCGGAAAGGTCTTTAACTAGGGACTGAGTTATGCTAAAGTTATACTTTAACATGGTGTGAGCACATTTCCTCTTTTGTTGGCTTTTTTTGCCATATGTGACTTTGTGACAAATCCAGTATGTGGGTTTTTTTGTTTTGTTTTGTTTTGTTTTTTAATGCTGCTGTAGAACTGGTCAGACAGGAGTTGTGCCCGGGAGCTTCCCTGTCGTGTCAGTAGGATATCTCTTGATTTCCAATGGAGGGAGAAGGTTGCAGCCATCTGATTTTCAGGAAGCCCCTGATAGCTCTGTGTAATATTTCAGTTGTTCAAGGACTGTGTCTGAAAGTGTGGCCGCCCACGGTGTCGTCCATCCTGCATCACATACCTGCTCAGAAAGCTGTGGCGGCAGCACTGACATTGCCTTGTGTGCTGCTGAAGGCATGCAGGGTTAGGAGGGACACCTACCCAGCCAGACAGCACGAGAGATGATCTGGCCATCTAGCCAGGCAGCAGAGTGTGGTGAGGGCAGCAAACTGTTTGCCAAATCCCAGGGGTGACCTGACTTTTCTGCCTGCCTGTTCCCAGCACGTGATGATCACAGCTCTTGGAGCAGTGGCCAGGGTAGAATTTGAGCGCCTGGGACGCAGGAGGGGCTGTTAGAGCCCCAAGTGGTGCCAGGTGAGGTCAATGCAGCGAGCTCTGAGCCTCTGCGTTTCTTCTTCCCCATGCTGCTGGGGTAGCCTTTGTGTAGGCTGCTTCATGTGCCTCCTGGGACTAGAGGCAGGTCCCTTCAGGTTCCCAAGGCTTTCCCTGGGATGGATGAGCTGTCAGCAGATGTTACGCCCATCCTGTCCTAAAGGGCACAGGGCATTTCCTCAGCCTCATCCTGTGCTTCATCTCGCCTTGAAGAACTTGAGGTGCCTCCTGTTCCCAGCAGAGCCCGTGGTGGGACGTGGCCTGGCAGGTGGGTCTCCTTCCACATCGCATTCATAATGCTGGGCTTTTCCCTTTGCAGAGGAAGGCTTGTTGTACCGGGCACGCTACTTCGGAGACTCGGATCTGTACCAGCGAGCACAGAAGATGGGCACCCCCAGCTGTAGCAGACTGTCAGATGTTCAAGCCTCTCTGCACGGATAGTCACCGCCTGCCCGCTCAGCAGAGGTCTAAGTACGAGCTGGTGGTGCTTCCCCTGGCAGCGGAGCAGGGCACAATAGTGCTTTTCATACTTACTTAAATCTCTGTTTGCGACACAGATCTTCACCACTCTCCTCTGGATGCACCCCCATCACAGGGGGGAAGCACCCCCCTCTGTCAAGCGTACACTCATTAATCGGGAAATTGATTTTGTTTAGTTTGCATGTCGGCACTCTCAGCTCCTCTCTCCAAGCTCACTGTTTTCTCTGGCACTGTCAGTGTTGGGTCTCTAGGAACAGAGCAAACGCTCCAGGCATGTTAGCGACTCGGCAGAAGTCTTGTCAACTGCACATTCGATACAGCAGCCGTGCGTGCCTCAGCTGGTTGGAAGATTTTTACCGGCCGTGGCAGCCAGCCGCCAGGTTTTAATGAAACTTTTTTTGGTTGCTTTATTGTCTGTTTTACTGAAAAAGCTGTTATCCCCTGGCACTGGGAGCAGTATGATGACAGGGAACGGACTCTTACCAAACAGATGTTCCTTGCCCCCCCGTTGCCTTCCCATGACACTCAAGGAGAACAAAGCAAATGGCCAGAGTTCACAGCAGGTTGTAGAAATATCTTACTGCGTTAAACTGGGAATCAAAGTAAAAACAGCTGAGGGGGATTCTGGAAGACTCGGGGGTTGAAGAGCTTGAATTAAGGCGAGCCCAGATAGCACGCATGAGACCGGGTGTGCTGGGTCATGGGAGAACTGCACAAAAATAATGAAAAAAATTGGCATGGAGTTTGGAGTCCTTTTTCTGCTTAATTATCTGGGCTGATTTTGCCTACCAGATACTGCTGGGGTGGCTGTAAAACATACAGGTTCCTCCTGCCACAAAATTATTTGAAAACAGGGTTTCTACAGAAAATAAATTGGAGGTGAAGCTTGCACCAAGTGTTAGTTGTACGGACACCATTTAGGCTTGCAAAGACTTCTTGGGAACGTTGGGCTTCTAGCTGCTTGATTGTGGACACAAGTAAGGAGGTTTGGCAGGGGAGGTTTTGTTCGGTTTTTGTTTTTCTTGGCAAAGGGAGCGCGTCTGAAAGTTTGGCCTTTAAAGCAATTCCTCTGGGTCGCATTTGGCCTTTTTTTGGGTGTATCCTGTTTTTGGAACCGTTCTTATCTTGATACGCCCACTCTCTTGTTTTGATAACTGCACCTCTTCTTTCATGATAGACCGGCATTAATTACCTGCTTTTCTTTAATTCCCTCTCTCTACCCGTGGTCTGAAAAGAGAGCTGCTCTTAGGCAGAGGGCCTGCTGCGGACTGAGATAGTGCAATTGAGTAAGCTGCTGCCTGTAATTTGGTGGGGGGGGGGAAGGAAGGGGGAGGTACGGTGACGTGTGATTGTCTGGAGACTGACACCACTACCGCTTTTGTTCCCAGACTCATGAAACGCCTGAAGACTTTTGGTGAAGTGCACTGAGCCGAGGTGACAGACTTGATATTTAAAAGAATCAAACCTTATCTTAAAAATGGAATTGGAGAATTAGCAACGCACAACTGCCCTTTTTCTTCTCTCTGCCTGTCTCCGCTGTTCGACCTACATCTCAGGCAGCGATTAGGACAGGAAATCAAGCTGCCCGTCTTCCTCCTTCCCTTCTGACACCGCTAGTGTGCGACAGTCTCCTTGCTCCTGGGCTCCCACAACCCCAAGAACAGACGCGTAGAGTGTAAAATAACACAAACTAACTGCAGAAGCCGTGAAGCAGAAGGAGATCCTTCGCAACTGCGCTGGTCACTGCCGACGGAGAGAGAAATTGGACGATTTGGTGATAAAAGAAAACTTTGAAAAAAAGAAAATATAATCTATTTAGAATTAATTTATAGCTGTATATATGTTGTACTTTTAAACTATGCAGGGGTTGGATGATTAAATTATTTTGTTTTCTGCCCGGTTTGGTAAACAAGGAAGCGGGAAGTCTTTTCCCAGGGTGTCTTGCTCTGCAGTGCTTTCCTGCCTGACACACTAAAAGAAGAATCACTTTGCTGTTACTGTATTTTGCTTTCTGGAGGACAGCGGCATTCTGCGGCTTGGGATGTCGATACCTGCCTTTCGGGTTTTAATAAAAGAAATTCCAAATCTGTAGGGGGTAACAAAGAAATTGGGGAAACTGTCCAGATTTGTGGTGTGGTTCTGCAACGTGGGCAGAAGCTGCAGCGGGTCAGCTGAGCCCCCGCGTCGTACTCAGTGATGGGAAGGATTGTCCTGGATGGTTTTTGCTCATCAGTCGTTGGGTTTATTTGTGCACGTAACTTCTTTTTTTGCAGAGTCTGCTTTAATTTTGCCTCGTCATCAGCGTGCAGCGTTCATTCTGTAAAGAGGGCTTTCCACAAGCCGTCTCCCTTTGTTGGTGTTTTTTTTTGTGTGTGTGTCCTACACTTGGGGTTCCTCACCCACCAGGACTCCCGTTTGCAACATGGCTGTGGCCTTGACACCCTATCTCTAACGTTTCCTAGAGGAGACCCATAAAATACTGCTAATTCATAAGAAATGGAGCTTTCTATTGCTTCTGTTGAAAGAAGTTTTGCTGGGGGAGATCACAGGGTGCGCCTGAGCTCTACTCGGACCCTGCCTGAGCTCTGCAGCATGTCTCTCACTCGATCACCGACAGGCAGGACTGGCGGGAGGGTGCTCGAGGTTAGGAGCCATCTCTTCAAAGCAAAGCCGGCATGAGCGGAGCTCTCTTCCATTGAATAAACTGGATTTTTATTTTTTTTTTTTTGGTACTTTGCAGTTCATTTTTGTCTAAAGACATTTCCAGTGAGAACAGTCCCCCAACATGCTCGGGGGAATGAATCAAAAGCACGGTGGCTTCCGGGTGAGGTGGCAGGGGCTGGAAGAGGCGAGAGGTAAGGTGGTTTTATTTCTTTGTCATTAGGAATCCACGTGCTCTGTCTTCAGCTATTTATTTATTTTGCAAAATATCAGCCCTCCCGTTAACTGCAAGCCTTACTATCCCACAGCCACCATGACCTGGACCTGATTTTAAGGGGTTTTTTTCTTTTTGTTTCTTTAAATTCCTCCACCTTTGGAAGGAATTGGGTGGAAGTACAGCATTTGGAAATAGCTCTTAGTAGCGGCACAGGCTAGCTGGCATGAAGAGATCATGGGGAGGGGGTTAAACGAAAACCACGTACACAGAAGGTGCTGAATGTCTTGCACAACAGCATTCCTTGCCCAGAGCCTGCCCACCAAAACCTTTTGATTATTTTTCTTCAAGTAGATACCCATGGATAATAACGAGCGAGAAGGCATAGATCCTAACGGATGCTCACAGAGGCTGTATCTCTCGGTTTAGAATTAAATATACAATTGTACATCTATAAATAAATGTTTATAACGTGAAAGGCTGCAGCTGTGTGTGTCCTGTGGATCCTTGCCCCAGCCAGCTCCGGTTTTACAGCTCATTCTTCACGCCGCCTTCCTCACATCCACACAGGCGCTCGGTAAATGAAATTCGGCATCTTTGCTGTCACGGCAAGCCCCAGCGGCTGAGAGCTCCAGCCCTGCAGGAGCCTCCCCGGCGTGGGAGAGGGAAGGATGGGGAGAAGATCGAGAGGGGGAGGTGCCCCCCGAGTTAGCCGTGGGTCCTGGCAAGGTGACAGTGACCGCTCAGCAGGACATCTTTGCTTCCAACTGGTTCTCGGGCCGGGGGGACCTCACTTTCCTCCCCTCCCATCGAAGCACCACTGTTAGCTGGGTCCCTCAGCATCTTCCGGCTGAGCTCTTTTGGGAGATGCTTTATTCTCATCCCAGAACACCACCATCCCAGCGGCATCATCCTGGCGTTTTAAGGTGCCCTGTGGATGGGTCCCCATCCAGGGAGGGCAGCAGGCAGGAAGGCTCGGGCTGCTTTTGTCCTGGGCGGAAAGGCTAGCTCGGACACGCTTCCCGACGGTGGCGGCTTGGAAACTGCCAGCTGCTGCCCCAAAACAGCAACACCTGCCCCCGGGGTCAGATTTAGGGTCCATGGTCCCAAATGGGACTCTCTTTCCCAAATCTCCCCTCCCCAGGGCAGCAAAAGGCTTTTCCTGCAGTACCCAAAGCAGGCTTGACCCTGCCAGCACTCCCCTCCTCCTTCCGAGCCCCACGCACCAGAGGGCTGGAAGTTTGGGGTTTGGGGTTGTTTGGGGGTTTTTTCCCCTTTTCCCTTTTTTTTCCCTTTCTCAGAGGTCACGTCACTTCCATTTCCCCTCTGTGCCGCGTTCCTGGCAGCAGCGGTGAGTCAGCCCCGCCAGCCTCTCGCAATGCCCGCACCAGCACATCGGCCAGGAGAGTCCGGCACAGACCAACACAACCACCCGGCAAAACCCCCTGGTATCACCAACACAGACCCTGCGTCATGTTTTTTAAAATCTGCGATCAGGTACTTCCACGCCCCAGTTTTTGGGGTGGTTTTACTGGTCATTCCCAGCTCATAGCAATGGGAGATGCTCTGTGTTTCGGTGTGCTGGTCCCTGCCCGCTCATCAAAGGTGCGGGCGATTTGGGCTCCCCATTAGCTCCTTCCCCACGCAGTGGCTTATTAACCCAAGCTTTTAATTGGGGCAGCAGCCAGAGGAAGGGAGGCAGCAGGGGAAGGTAGGTGCCCCACAAGCATCCTCCTCCAGCAGGTAGAGAGCGAAAGGGACCCCGCGTCTTGCCACCATCCTTTTTCGCGGCAAAACATGAGGGTTTAGCATTACCCTGGGATTTAAATCCTCATTTGCCTTATTGCTGCTGATGCCCCCCAAAATCTCCCTTTCCCCACCACCGTGACCGCACCTGGGACCCCCAGGCTGATGCTGGTGGTGCCACAAATAGCCCCATCACTGCCTCCCAGGTCCCAAAATATCTCTCTGCCTGCCCCCCATCCCGAGAGAGGCTAAATACAGCCTCGCTGGAAGCTCCTGGAACCTTCCAGGGAGCTGGCAAACCCCGGGGACCTTGACATCCCCCCCAAATTTGTCATGGAAAGGCCATTTTACTATAAATAGAAGCAAAGCTTCACCTGCCGTGGCTCGTGGCTGTGACTATGGGGCATTTCAGGAGCACGTGGATCCGCTCAGAGGGTTTTGCCAGGTACCTCCCCAGCAAAGAGGCTGTCCTGTCGCTCTGCATTTGCTTTTGTGAGTTTCGAGGGGGATTTGTTCATTTTCTCGGCATTTTCTGCAAAGCCTTGATTGCTGCTTGTAATAATAATGTAAAAAAAATGCGATGCGGAGTCCCTCACTCACCCTCAGAAAGGCTGGCAGGGGATGAGCCGGGGCCATGCTGCTGCTGGCAGCACGGCAAGACACGGGGCCATCCCCTCTGCGCGCTTAGGAGCTCGGTATATAAAAATACATACATTTATGGAGCTATAGATATAGCTTCAAGACACAATATACCTCAGCAAGGGTTGACAGCACAGACCGAGCTGCCGGTGTCGCTGCCATCACCACGCCACAAATCTCTCACTGTGGCTGGGGAGCAACATGCCGTTTCCGCCCTGTGCCGGCGGTGCCAGAACCTGCTCTTCTTGCAATTTCGCCAAAAAACTTTGGGTTTGAAGTTTCCTTTCCAACCCTCTCAGTGGCTCCTGCGCTGGTTTGACAGTGGTTTTGCTGCTGGACAACACCGCAGGGCACCATGCTGCCGGGCCCTGGCGTGGGGATGCCCGTCATGTGAGGCAGGGATGCTCTGGCACATGACGCTTTGAGAAACACCTCAGTCCCCAAGATTTCAGGGGAACCCCTCCCACTTTACACAGTGTGGGTTTGTAAGGGCACTGTTCCAGCTGTACCTGCCCAGCACTGCTTGTTGCTGATTGCTCCTAGGTGGTACTTACATGGGTGAGCAACCTCAGCTCCCAACACTCTGGTCATGGGTTGTCATTTTCAGAAACAACTTTTTTGGTGAAAATTTTCATCGAAAAGTTACTGTTTGTCCATGGGGGGAGACGGACAACACACACCAAACAACTACCAAACCAACAACAGAAGCCTGAGCCAGAACAAACTCACATTTGAATGGAAATTTTTTTTTTTCCAGGCTGATTTTATCCCCCACACCTTCTAAGAGCTCTTCCTTTGCCAAGCAGCTTAATTACCCTTTAGTGAAAGCCTTTTCTCTGAGTGCCTCTAATTGCAGGCTTGGGTAATTGGTCTCATTTTTGCAGAGTGTGTTTGGAGCTGGGGAGCACTCCCCCTGGCAGGTATGACCCTCCCTGTCCCCCTCCCTCTCAATTTTAGCCAGTTCTCCTGCTTTTCTGCCTAAACTCCCCTCCGTAGCTCCCAGGGGAGGAGCAGCAGCCCCTTGCTGGGGTGCCAGGGTGCTCCCCCCCAGGCACAGGCAGGCACCTGGCTGGCTCAGGGGCCTGACTCAGCTCCCCCTGAGTCACAGCCCCATGGCCTGCAATTAAGACCAGCCACAGTGGGATTCCCCCCGCCATTCCCAAAACCTTCAGCTCCCACCACAGGGGCTGCCCTGCCAGGGAAAGGCTTCCTGGGGATGCCAGTGGGGATTTCAAACCATCAGGGAGTGGTTGCATCATCCCTCTCCAGACCAGAGTGACAACAGGGAGACAGCAGGTTATCAATTAAGACAAGTTTTATTAGAAAAGTAAAAAAAACCCACCCCAACACAATTGCATAGGAAGTTCTTGCACTTGAACATCAAGTGTACGAGTGTAAACTGTAACCAATGAAGCACCCACAGCATGTCACAGCGAGGGGTCCTGCCCTCCGTCCCTGCGTCACCTCACACGCCCCGCTCGTGATCAAAGACACAACGCGATTCTGGACCCCATCTCCTGCCTTACTGGGAGCCTGCACAGAGCTGCCTGAGTGCCAGCAGTGGGGTTTTATCTTTGATCCAGACCTACAGCCCAGCCATCCCTCACTCCCACACACACGCCCTCCCCCAGAAACCCCATTGATTACAATCCTTGTTACAAAAAAGCCATGATTAATCAGCCAACAGGAGGAGACCGTCTGCCCCCCCAGCAGCCCTGCTGCTGCATCCGGGAGCGCAGTCACCGCAATCATCCCACAATCATCGACAGTGTGAAGCAACCTCCGCCTGGGTCCCAGTCTGCTCCGCGTCAGGGATGCCCCGGCACAGGCAGGCACCCCGCAGGGACCTCCGCCTGCCCAAACTACTTCCACCTACAGCCCTACTCCAGCCTAACCTAAACTACAGCGGCTGCCGGGAGCCGCCACGCTCTAACCGGCTCTTCCAAAGCACTTGGGTAAGTCGCTTCTCCAGCACGGCCCATCAGCACTCCTCTATGAGCAGCTGCTCGGAGCTGTACAGCTTCTTCTTGATGACCCTGAAGCCTGTGCTCAGCTTCAGCGGCGTGAAAGCCGGCCCCGAGGTGAAGAGTCCCTGGATCTTGGGCCAGAGACGCGAGTCCAGCCGGAGCACCAGGGTGAGCTGGAAGGTGGGTACCACGGCTGGGTCCACGGCGATGTGCCCCACGTCGTGGCAGGCCTTGCCGTGCTCCACGCAGAGGTCGAGGAGGGCCCCGCGCAGCCCGCAGGGCTCACTGCAGGCCAGGCGCAGCAGCTCCGTCCTCACCTGCGCCAGGAGCTGGGCCGGCATGAGGAGCCGGGAGCAGCGCTTGGCACCCAGCGGGGCTCTGCCCAGCGTGGCCTGGACCAGGTCCATCAGGTTGGCGCACAGCAGCTCGTCCTCGGGGTCGTGCAGCAGGTCCAGGTCCGGCAGGGAGGCCCCCTCGGCGTACTCGGCATCTGCGGAGGGGACAGCAGCCAGGTCAGCCCGGGGTCTCACAGTTGTGGGGGCACACCGAGCCCAGGGGTTTTGGGGGTGGTTCATCTGGGGCACAGGGGCTTGGCACAGCCCCCCTCCCGCCCTCGGGGACCCTCAGCCACCTCCCAGCCCCTCAGGGACAGCCCCGTCCCTCAGAGGCACACCAGGCCCCTCAGGGATGTCCCCCAGGAGGTCTCCCGCCCCCTCCTCGGGGACCCCCGCTCACCTCCCTCCGAGCCGGAGGCGCTGCCCACCGACTCGCAGTCGGAGGTCTCCAGCCGGCCCCGCTCTCCGCCCGCCAGCCGCTCCCACAGCCCCGGCATTCCGCCGCCTCCGCCGCCCGCTCTGCCCCGCCGGCCGCCGGCCCGCCGCCTTATACAGGGCCTCTACGGGAGTCCCCGCCCCCTCCAGCTGACGCCCGCCAATGGGAGCGCGGGGCACGTCCGCGGCGTCTCTCCTGCCCGGTGACAGCGGGAGGCCCCGCCCT